TTTGCACGGGCTACGGTAGTGTATTTGGGAAAGGTGGTTGGACAGGGCAACGTTCGCCCAGTGAGAGAAAAAGTCCTGGCCATTGACAAATTCCCACATCCGGTCACTAAGATAGAATTGATGCGCTTCCTTGGTATGATAGGGTATTACTGGAACTTCTGTTGCAATTTTTCATCTGTTGTTGCCCCATTAACTAACCTGTTGAAGGGTTCAGTTAAATTCAATTGGACTGCTGATTGTCAACACACATTTGAAAACGCCTCTTCTGAGTTCTGCACCTATTCTGGCTGCTCCTAGGCTTGAGGAGCCTTTTCAGTTACAAGTGGATGCCAGCCAGGAAGGGGCAGGTGCTGTTCTCCTTCAAAGAGATGACAACGGAATAGATAGATCAGTTTCATATTTTTCTCGGAACTTTAATTGTCATCAATTTAACTATTCGACAACCGAAAAGGAGGCACTGGCCCTTATTTGGGCACTCCAACATTTTGATGTTTATGTTGGTGGAGGGTTACACCCTGTGGTGGTCTTTTCTGATCACAATCCTCTTACGTTCCTCTCTTCTCTTCAGAATGCGAACCAGCGTCTTAAGGCCTGTTCACACCGGGACGAATTTCGCGCGCGATATGCCTCGTGACTAAACAATGGGCACCAATGTGAGTGTTCACACCGACGCGAAAAACGGCACGCGTAAAAGCGTCATTTTTAAAAAAAACGCCTCGGGTTCGTTTTTTTGGTTTGACGCGGCGCGTCACAACCTATCCGACCAACGAGATTGGCGGGTTTGCTCACGTGTCTGGTACTTCTGAAGTTACAGTAAAACACAACTTGGGGGCGCTCAAACACAAAACGGTCTTGCCGAGCACACATACGGCGAAGAAGAGATAAGATACCTATGGGCAAGATGTTGAGCTGCTGGTCTCGGAGCATAAAGAGCTATATATGATAATATTTGTATTAGTATTTCTGTAATAATAGTATAGTATAGGGTGACCAACAGTCCTGTTTTCCCGGGACATGTGTAAAACGGTCACTTTGTGCTTTATAGAAATCGGAGTTGAGATGAGAACTGCGCATAGTGTGTGCGTGTGTCAGTTAGATTTTGACAAGTGAGGAGAGGAGATAACCGCTCTGCCGACTCTTTCTATTCTTTCTTTTATTTATTTATTTTTTTGTGACCAGATGTTTGTTTGTGTTTGTTTTTCTCGCTCGATCCCCATGTATGAGGAGGACGAGTGTGACGTTTGAGTGGTTTTATTAAACGCGGGGAAATACGACAACTCTCGTCTCTCGTGCATCTGTTCATCCGACAACTAGTGCTATGTTTTTATCTCTGGGCAACATCTCAACTTTGCGTTACACATGTCCTGTTTCCACGTCCTGTCCTGGCTGTTTTTAAGTGATGAAAATGTCCTGGTTTTCAAAAAAACTGCTGGGAAAGATCAGTTCTACGGCAAAATATGAATGGGCAAACAAGGTGGATGAGGAAGAAAAACAGGATAAAGAGGATGAAAACTAAAGATATAAATAGATTTTGTTAGTTCGTTTTTGTAAGTTTGTTAGAGCTATTTTTTGTTACATTTGGAGGCATTTCTTTTAGTTATTTATATATTTATTTTTCTAATACAGAAGACATTATTTCTATCATTATTTCATTCTTTTTTATCTGTCATAATAAAACATTGAGACATGAATATGATCACCCTATTATTTCTGTTTTACATTAAGCGCCATCTAATGTCAGGGAATGAATTTGCATGTTCACTCGGCTCATCGTTAGCAAAAAATTTGTCAGGGAATTAAAGGAAACAAGAACGTTCAAACTGAAATGCACATGGCAAGTATTTGTTGCTTAATCGCCTTGTTCCTGCATGGGCCGAACTATCAGCAGCAAAATCCCACAAATAAAGAAACCATTTCAAAAATAGAATCTTTTGTCATGTCACATGGACAAATTATTAACAGTCAAATCTGTGTACGTGTTTTTTTTTTTTTTTTTTTTTGGGGGGGTTGTAATTGTACTACACACCTTGAGGGGGCACCACGAGCTAATACTATCAGGCATAAAACAGGTGGAGAGAGTAGAAGAAGCAGATGGATAATGGAGGAGTAAGCGGGGCTGCGTTCCAAACCGCATACTCAATGAGTAGGTACTTAATTTCAATAAGTACTTACTCATCGAGCGCTAAAAGAGTAGGTACTTTATAGCCAAATCTCGTTGAGTATGAATGCGAACCGGACATCTGCCATGTTGACGTTATCATGTGACCTTCTACGCGTTATCAGAAGCGCAACACCTTCATGCAATAAAAAAAATATGAACGATACGTTTAATTAATCTACCTATAAATATCTTGATATTGATGAAACTTGCTCATTTTGTTGTGGTATTGTTGAAGAAACAGCTGCCTATTTATTTTGTGAATACATTTAGGGTTGATTTAAGTTTTTACCCTACTAATTTTAAACCCTACTAATGTGAACAACAGTGTTATTCTAACGATATTTTTTTTATTAAGAAACCCCAAAATCATCATCTCTTGATTATGTTGTTAATTTCTTTATTTTATACCCAAAAAGTTTCTCCTCTTTTTCTTCATGAATTTACCTCGTTTCATCCCTCAGATATAACAACAACTTTTTTATGTATTATAAAGAACTATAGGCTAATGAAGATATTTAGCCTTTTTTATTGTTCTTATTTCCTGTGTATAAATATAATTTTATGTCATATTATGATGTACACAAACCAATGATCTTTATATTTTCTGTTTTGTCACTATGATTGTTACATAAACTATAGTATCTTTCCATGATCTTGCAGTAATTGCACAGGAAGATGTTACCACCTGCTGGGCATTGCTGCCTGTCGCACCTCCTCCAGTGCCCATGGGTCAGCTGCAGGGTCATCAGCCAGAAACCACCGTTCACCAACGTTTCGCTCCTTTAATTCTGGAACGTCTCCTGGTGGCGGAGCAGTGACAGGGACGTCTCCCTGTCACCCCCTGCAGCTGATAGCTGTCCTCCCTGCTGCTGTTATCTGGGGTTAGCTGTTCTTCCCCCAACACCTATCTTTCCTCCTCAGCCAGAGCCAAAAGCTACCTTTCTCTGCCTCCTCTGCCAGATCCTTTGTTGCCCTCCTTAGCCTCCTTCCGGTCACTCCTGCTTCCCTCAAGAGGTGTATAGTTGACACCCCAAGGAAACCTCGGCATCCGACCTCCACTGGGTGGACGGTCATCTTCCAGCCAGCCTCCCGGCACTCGGCAGCAAGCTCTGAGTACTTGGCCTTCTTCCGTTCGAAGGCAGCCTCGATACCCTCCTCCAGTGGTACAGTGAGCTCGATGAGGTGCGCTGATCTCGCCTTGGATGACCACACCACTATGTCTGGCCGGAGAGATGTGGTGGTTATCTCCGTGGGGAACCGGAGCTGCTTGTCCAGGTCGACCCTCATGTCCCACTCCTGGTTGGGAGAGAAGGGCCTTGCTGTTTCTCTTGATCTAATGCTTCTCCTTACCCCTCCTTCCGACACAAAGATGGTGGGGTCCTCTGCTGATGGTGGTTGTTTGCTACACTGTCGACACTCCTCAAGTACTTCGGCTAGCTTTCTCAGGACCTGATCGTGGCGCCATCTGTAGCGTCCCTGTGAGAGAGCGACCTTGCAGCCTGCCAAGATGTGCTGGAGACTTGCGTTGGGAGCATTGCAGAGTACACAGGATTCTTCATTCCCAAACCACTGATGGAGGTTTCGAGGGCAGGGAAGTGTGTCGTAGGTTGACCGAATAAGGAAACTAAGTCTTGCCTGTGGGATCTTCCACACCTCTGACCAACTGATGTTCCGGTTCATGATTCCCTCCCAGGTTGTCCAGCTTCCTTGTCGACCCTGCGCCACGGCCTTGATTTTGTAGCGATCTTCCTCCATCCTCGTCACCTCTGCTACCACCATCTCCTTCCTTTGCTTGCGATTGGCCTTGGACCAAAAGCGTGGCGTCTCTCCCCATCCTAGGCCTGCTCTTCCTACCTGAACTCTGCCCATGATCTCCCGGTGTTGCAGCCGACTGACAGCTTGCTCGACCTCAGTTTGGGCATTCCACTTGCGGCCAGTGGGAACCTTGGCATTTGCGTTCTTTACTGACTCGTCTGTGGACTCCCTCAGCTCGAGAACCAACCTGGTCTTTTCTTGCATGTAGCCCAACTGTATGGACTGCAGTGGCAGCTGCAGCATGTTTTTCCCAAATAGACCGGTTTCAGATAAGCACCGTGGCAACCCCAACCACTTTCGGATGAATGAGTTGGCTTTTCCGTCCATCTTACTTATAGTTGATGAGGGAATCTCACTCATTTTCAGGGGCCACATCACCCTCCTGTAGAGTATAAACTGGTAACACCAGACCTTAAACTTCCCAGGGAGTTGGCTTTGGTCGATCCTTGCCAGTCCGTCAGAGAGCTGCTTCATGACGGTTTTCCCCATCTGTTTATAATTATATTGCATATAATAAGTTTAAATTATATGAGCGACAGGTGCTCTAGCACTTCATAACATCAGTAACTTCACAGCACAACCTAGAACAGCGTTTGTAATGTGTGCACAAAGGAGACGGGCAGCTGCTTGAAGATCTCTTTTGGAGAAAACTGTTGATTTTATACTCAAAAAATGTAAGTATCACTGCTTAAAAAATTAATATTACCTCAGAATGAATTTCATTGTTAGCCCACCCCAAAACTTAAACAAAATAATAATATTAAATGCTGACCAATACTTGTATAACTTTTTATATACTAAAAATATAATTTAATAAAACAAGCAAAATGTAATTTGTTTTGTAATATGACAGTAATGCATGAATTCATTTATATTGCTAAATGCAGTGAAACATCTCAATTGTCAGTCAATCGATGAATTAATGCATAAATTAATTACATTTTATATACTGACAACAATAAGAAACATGAATAAATGAGTAAAAGAACAAATAAAAGTAACCATCACAATAAACAAATGCATATACAAGTCAACACATGAAACAGCTTTATTCAAACTACAAGCATGTATTTACAGGCACTGAACCCCAAACCCTACTGCCGACTCAACACAGCGGTTCCTATTCTTTGATGACAGCATTCAGCATCATGAGCCTCTCTCCACCTGATAAACAGACGCGTGTTCTCCTGTCCCTGTAACATACAGACAAGATTCACATTACGAGCTCAACACTGCATTTACATGCTGAGGTTGATGTGTTAACTCACTTTTAATCCAACTTAAATGTTCCTCAATATATCAACACCAATAAGGGACAAATTAAATATATATCATGTTTAGTTACTTTATAGATGTTTTTATTGACAGCACATAATTTGTCTAATGTAAGCAGTGTTGACAACAGAATTATCCTACATAATAGCACACACATGTATTTTTCATGTTGGGATGTGCTCACCTGCAATACTTATACAATATTTTCCTTCCTGATCTAAATAGACATTTTAAATAAGCGTATTTAAGATGTATGGTTATGTAGCTAAATACACGTTGGAAACGTAACTTTACGGTTACTGGAGCTCCCCTGTTAGCTATACATAATAAAACATGTGTTCACAGCAAAATCACAACTATACTATACTGTCTAACTCCTTTAGACGTTCAACAGTTAAAACGTTTACTCTATAGTAGTTTAACACATACGATTTAAACCGTATTTACTCACATTTGAAAACCCCCGCGTCGCTTATCTCCGCGATGTTGATATTGACGTATCATCTCTTCTTCTTCTTCTTCTTCTGTGATTTTTATTGGCAGTTTGCAAGCTATGTGCATTGACGTATCCTCTCGCGTGGCCTCCTGGGATAGATGAGTATCATGAGTAGCCGTGGAAAAGCACTCAAAAATCTGGGCGGAAGCAGTAAGCCATCCGGGAACTTCTCGCCTACTCTTTTTATGAAAACTGATGTTTGGAACGTACTGCTTCCTTCACGTACTGTTTTCGCCTACTATATAGTAGGCATATTGGAACGCACTTAAGTCCGAATCTCGCGACAATTACTACGTCACCCAGGTAATTCTCGCCTACTCTTTTGGATTCATTCATACTTTTTTGCTCGCCTACTCTTTTTCCCATACTAAATAGTAGGGAAGTATGCGGTTTGGAACGCAGCCCATGTCTTATGAATTCAAATGATCAATGGTCCTGGTTGGGAAACTTGTGTTTTATGCTCAATTGGAAGTGAGCAGTGTTTTCTTTTCCTTATGTTGACTGGTGGATGTATATGAATTTATTTGCCTAATTTAATGATTTTGTTTGGTAGAAGGACTTCACATTCTGGTGGTTTTGCCCTTCTGTTGCTTATGCCTGAATGAGTGTGTTTGAAACTACATGAAGTCATATGTCTTACTTCTGTTGATCCTGAAATTGGATTATACCTGCACAGTTGTGGATTATGAAGCAGTATTACATCATCTATGTGATTTTGGATCAACAATAAGATGGACACTGGGAAGATGTGGAATTTGTCTTCTTCGTTCTGAGATTTCCTGGACATTGAGTTTGAGATATTGATCAATGAACTTTCATTTAATTTCAAGGGCCTGTTGTGTCATTAATACAACATTAAAACATTAAGTAACGATTCATTTACACAATTATTTGAGTTTACGTGTGGCAAAATACTGGTTGCGTTGGCTAAAAATGTATCAAGAGTTAACAGTAATTAGCTTGTAAACTAATTAGCAACATTTTCAATTTTGTCAGCGATCACTTACGCTCCCTAACGTAGGCTAAACCTTACACTAAACACAAGAATACACGTTACACATTATAACTCACAGTTAGCTAGCTAACATTATAGCTACATACCACTTTGTTCTGATATGACCAGTGGGACTCGGTAAGCTTAAGAATGAATAAAGGTTTATTCGGTTACTAAACATAAAACAGAATATATATACATCAAATTCATTACAAACAAAACAAAAAAGGTAACCGAACAGGTGTAGGCTGAAGCCGTGGCTTGTTACGCCTACCCTAATTACAAAACATCTACCCATCAAAATTTCAACATATACATGTATAAACATATGCATACATACACACATATACTCGTATACATACAAACCTCTGCACTTGATTACAAATATTTATTTATTACTTATATTATTAAAATCTAAGCACAACAATTATGCATAAGCTGATCTTAGACAATTTTTCTTAAGCATCTGAATATTTGTCAAAAATTCTGATTTTAAACTGTTTTTTAAAGTGATGAATGGAATTGCTCCTCTTAAGATCATCGGTGAGACCAGTCCACAAGTCAACCCCTTTTACCGTGATGGAGTTCAGTTTAAAGTTTGTTCTGACCTTCTGTTTTTTATACATGTTCTCTCCTCTTAAGTTATATTTCTGTTCCCTGTTTTCAAACAAACATAGTATATTTTCAGGCACTATTTTCCTATTAACTTTGAACATAAATACGGCGGTACTCAGACTGACTAAATCGGAAAATGTTATTGCTTTGAATTTACGGAATATAGAATGTGTCGGTTCGTTATTTAGGGAATGATTAACTATCCTAATAGCTTTTTTTTGTAAAAAAAAAAAAAAAAAAAAAAGGAAAGGCACCACAAGATTTCAGCCTCCAGGGTCTTTGCTGGTGTTAAGCCGAGACGTGCTCCACTGTGTCTCACGCTGCCGTCGCTGCTGGGGGTTGCGGTTCTCTTGGAGCTGTATGGGGAGGCTGCAGTAGAGCAGGGATGGGCACTTGGGCCAAAGATGATGCTCCTGTCGGCTTCATACGAGTGGCGTGCTTCCTGCTGCGAAGTGCACCCTCACCCATGTTTGATAGCTCAATAGTAGTTTTACAAACTTTACATTTAGCTTTTCTGTCGTCTACTTTTAATACCCAGTCTTTAAATGGTTCATTTTCTAACCAAAGCTCCTGAAATTTACATTTTCCTGGCATGATGTTCGCCAGTCGAGTGCAGTCACCCGTACCTGTTAACTAACTGTTTTCCAATTGAGCGGGAAGGGAATAAAATGGCGCTCAAAATAGCCTAAGCACAACAATGCAGAAAGTGTGAAAAAATCAGTAGACTATAGAAAAATTACATTTTGATAAATGGAAACTTATCAAAAATTTAAAGCAACAAACTAAATTCCCTGATATTCCATGACTTGGACAAAAAATATATAAAATTCCCTGACTTTCAATGTCTGGAATAGACCTTCCATGACATTCCAGAAACCCGTGGGAACCCTGAATAATAAATATAGCAGTTTGAAAACCCTAGCAGTATTAGAATTCTCACACCTGATATTACTGATATTACTGCCTAAGTGAAGTTGAGTGTCTTTCCCTTTAATTGATGTGATGTCATGAGTCAATATAATGTCCTGTTCTGTCCCCTCCTCTTCCTCTTTGCATTGATAGGGTTAGGGTTTATTGGGCTCCTGATAATCATCTTTAATCCTAATTTTAATTGTTGCTTTTATGTCTATATTTTCACTCTTATTCCTGTGTATAATATTATTTGACCTAGGGCTGGGCGGTATATCGAGTTTGTACGATGTATCGTTATATTTTTTTGAAACGATATGGAATGAGGCAATACCGTTTATATTGATACATTAGTTTGATATGAGCACATCTGAACAATAGCGGAGGTTGCAGTGTGAGCTGCTGCAGTGAACGTAGCTAGGCTACAAAGTAAAATTTGTCCTAAACATGACACAAGCTTATATTAATTGCTTCAAAATAACTGATAAGATATAGTTAACAAGTTTAAAGCAGCTTGCCGCCCTGTCAGATGCTCTAACAGACACTGTTGCTGACTGACAGATATACTTGCGCTGTTTAATGCGTTTGAGATGTGGTGCTTTCCTCAGTGCTCAACTTACATTTCACAGGTATATTCTCCATCTGTAAATGTTAGAAAGTAAAACAAATATGTCCATTTCACAACAAATATGTCCATTTCAGAAGAGGACGAGCTTCTGCGAGTGAATCTCCGCTAAAATTCATGCTTCCTTGAACGAGCGCCGCCGCGCCCATGCGCGTGAATAGTACTACGTACTATAGTACGCAATAATTCTGACTAAAATAAACATATTGCTAAAATATTTGTTGTTGGAGAAAATAAATCTGCCATATCTGGAATTTTAAACCTACAAGTATATATTTTTAATGAAAGTGACCATTATAATGGGGTAATCAAATGCAGGCTAATATAATTAGTTTGTGCTTTTGTTTTTGTTTTTGTTTTTATTTTCATTTTTAGTTTAGCCTTTAGTCAATTTAAAAACAAAAGCTTTTTGCACATAATATATTGCATAGCCTATATTATATTTGTTTCCATATCCTTCAATATCAACATTGTTTGTAGGATATCATTGGGCAGAATGTGAAATATATATATATATTTTTTAAATATAAAGATTTTCTTTATCTAAATGGAAAACGTAGAAAGTACCGAGATAAGCTATATATCGCCATTTGACTATGATCTTTTGGCCATATCGCCCAGCCCCCTCTCTGTGTGGCTATTTTCGTCATTTCCCATTTCCTCCCGATTAAGTGATGTTTTAACATCTGGGCCTAAATGTGAAATGAGAGCACATGTGACAAGTGTACATCACATTTGTTTGATGGAGCTAATGAGGGCGACTCTCACTAAGAGGCTGTTTGTATATCAGGAATAAAAGAGCATTGAAACAGCCGAATGCTGTCCTGTTCTTCTCACATCTATGAGAAACACAACGCAGAAAAGAGACCAGTTGCACTTGGTGCCGTGATCATTTCGGATCAGCGCTTCGCCGATCGCCGTGGTTGTGTGAACGCTTCGCCAATCTTCCTCGTCGATCTTCTTCCTCATCGCAATCACTCGTGGCGGCTCCAGCTCGCGCATAAGGAGGGCGCGTGTGTGAGATGAACAGCGTGTGACATCGCGGGACAAACTGTTGCATCTTAAAGCAACGGTAAACAGTTATTGACTTACTGATAAACTTTCTTCTTCTTTCTCCGGAGCGCTTTCGTTGGTCGTGAGGCTGCGAAAAGCACTGCGGGACGCTTCAGTTTCCTTAATGCATCGTATTCTTTATCTGTACACTATAACTGTTGAGGCAGTTTAAACAAGAAAAAGTGTATGACTGATTTTGAGAAAGCAAATATTTTATGTTCATTGAGAACTGTTGAGACATTTGATTTCATATATTTCCCTGTATATTTGAACTTTTCAAATATTAAGGTTTTGCTGTTTGTGTCATATAATTTGCTGTCATTTTTACATGTTTTATCTGTTTCATTTCACAAATTGAAACATGTTTGAGGATCCTAGCAAAGACGATTTCAGTCCTGTGAAACAATCTAATGTCACTTTTCCACTAGGGCAGAGGTCGTGGGCCTGAAATTTATGGAAATGAGGGTGTGTCTGAATTTACACGTTGTTATGGGAGAGGGAGAGAGTTAGCTAATTTGGGACTTGACCGTTAGCACACAGCCGATTCAGCGATTGGTTTTTCTGTAGGTCCAGCCCAATCATACGCCCTGATGTTGAACGTGTTGTTACGCCTGGGTATCATTTCAGATCTGGCTCAGAAAATAGGGGGACACGTAACCTGTGTGGGATCTTCTCATGTAGGGCCCACAGCTTCAAGCCGTAGACCCTAGGCCGTAAAAAACGTGACAGAACCTGCAAACTCCTCAAACGTGCCTGGGTCACAGGAAGCTCCTCAAGCAAACCACTGAATGAAGTCTCCAGTCTGTATTAAGGCAGTTGAGCTGACAAAAGTCCTCACTTTCACAAGCTCCTTGTCTTTCAGGGACTTAGGCAGCTTCAGCAGCACTTCCTTTACCCATGGCATTCCATGGTCCATGTATTTCTGTGTGTTTCGGATGAAGCAAAGCCCCCTCTGCTCCATCTCCAAACAGACATCACCAACCAGGCTCACTGCTCGAGCCTCCACCGATGGGTTTTCCAAAGTCTCCCAAAGATCCTTAAAGTTCCAACT